CCTCCTTTATTCCCAATCGAACATGGTTGAACAAGCGGTCACGTGCCCCTGCGTACACCAGTCACCTGGTCACCGTGCCTGCAGGGTACAACTTACTAGCCTGTTTGACCTTTTTTGGGTGCAGTCCTGTCACTCGAGTTGAACTCGAGTTGAACCTTGGTGTGAAAGTTGTCGCCTGCTGGCGTGGTGACCAGGTGATTTGGGCAACCAGGAGCACGTGACCGCTTGTTCAACCACGTTCGATTGGGAATAAAGGAGGAACGCTGCATCGCAGCATTTTCGGACCAAAACCAGTCGACTCAGCGTCCAAAAGACTACAACATAATTATGGGCCAATCGCCGTCATCCGTGCTTTTATAAGAACGAAATGGCGCCTTTAGTGACATTTTGCATACAAATCCCCATCTAGTAGGGCGCAGTCACCCAGTTTCGGTGGAAGTGCGCGAGTTCGATTGGGATTCAAGTAGGAAGGGAGCGTCTCAGCTTTCTCGGACCAAGACCATTCGACTGAGCACCCCGAAGACTACAACTGGTGAAATTTTGATTTTTGCCTTAACTTCCCCTTTAAGCCTAAAGTCAAATTTTCACCATTTGTAGTCTTCGGGGTGCTGAGTCGAATGGTCTTTTGTTCGAGGAAGCCGAGACACTCCCTTCCTCCTTTTTTTCCCAATCGAACTCGCGCACTTCCACCGAAACTGGGTGACGGCGCCCTACTAGATGGGGATTTACATACAGAATGCCACTAAAAGCGCCATTTTGTTCTTGTACAAGCACAGATGACCGCGGTTGGCCCATATGTTGTAATCTTTCGGACACTGAGTCGACTGGTTTTGATCCGAGAAAGCTGCAATGCGGGCAGTTCGGCCAGTATTCCCAATCAAACATAGTTGAATAAGCGGCCACGTGCTCGTGCGTACACAAGTCACCTGGTCACCGTGCCTGCAGGGTACAACTTACAGCCTATTTGGGCGTGTACCTGTCACTCGAGTTGAACCGTGTTGAACCTTGGTGTGAAAGTTGTAACCTGCAGGTACGGTGACCAGGTCACTTGTGCACGCATGAGCACGTGACCGCCTACTCAAGCCAGTCAACTCAGCGTCCGAAAGACAACATCATATGGGCCAATCGCGGTCATCTGTGCTTTTATAAGAACGAAATGGCGCTTTTAGTGACATTTTGCATACACATACACATCTAATGGGGCGCAGTCACCCAGTTTCGGTGGAAGTGCGCGAGTTCGATTGGGAAAAGAGGAGGAAGGGAGCGTCTCAGGTTCCTCAGAACAAGACCATTCGACTGAGCACCCCGAAGATTACAAATGGTGAAAATGTGATTTTAGGCTTAACTTCCCCTTTAAATTGCGGCTTATGTTCGGGGGAAAAAAACGATACAAACTATTTGAGAGAGAGAGAGAGAGAGAGAGAGAGAGAGAGAGAGAGAGAGAGAGAGAGAGAGAGAGAGAGAGAGAAGTTACATTTATAAAGACAGGTAAGTCTAACAAATGAGGACTGAGACCTCTACAACAGGGTTTTCACGCCTGAAAGCAGGTGCATGATTTAACAAGCAGGTTGTCAGTCTAGATTTTATGCGCAGATGGAGAAAAAATGCGCAGAATTTTTGTGATGAGATGAAAAGCATAAATAATAAGAAATAATAAGAAAAGATGAAATGAAAGCCTGCTCACAACCCCGCCCAGCCTTGCGAACTGGGTATGGTGGGTTAAGAACCCGGTCCAACGCTCGAGCAAGCGCTCTCCACTCAAGGTGTTCACAGCAACTGATAGGAACTGATATGGGGAGATTATAGAAAAGAAATAATAAGATGAAGAGAATAAATTTCAACGCACCTCAATAAACGGAGCCCCACATACAGTACCTGAGAAAAGTGGATCTTCCGACGAGTGTTTTTGTTGACGTCGCAACCAGATGATGTAGCTGCTTCGCAGAGACGTCTTACTGCACAAATTACAAATAAATTTTATTCTTCGATTAGAAAACCCAAGCGCTTTCAGAGCCCTCCGAAGAGAGTCCGGGATGAAACCACGCACACCTACCTCAACCGAAAAAGAAACGACCTGCCACCCGTTTGCTCGGCATTGATCGGAGAGAGAGAGAGAGAGAGAGAGAGAAAGAGAGTGTTTCACACATATGTGTGATTTTTCCTCTGTTTTTTTCTGACTCTATGAAGGCGGCCAAACAGCAGCAGCAATCAGGTATGTGACAAATCAATTCTCAAACTTCTTCCCCTCCAATTGCGTTAAAGGGGAAGTTAAGGCAAAAATTAAAATTTCACCAGTTGTAGTCTTCCGGGTGCTGAGTCGAATGGTCTTGGTCCGAGGAAGCTGAGACGCTCCCTTCCTACTTGAATCCCAATCGAACTCGCGTACTTCCACCGAAACTGGGTGACTGCGCCCTACTAGATGGGGATTTGTATGCAAAATGTCACTAAAAGCGCCATTTCGTTCTTATAAAAGCACGGATGACCGCGATTGGCCCATACGTTGTAGTCTTTTGGACGCTGAGTCGACTGGTTTTGGTCCGAAAAGGCTGCGATGCAGCGTTCCTCCTTTATTCCCAATCGAACATGGTTGAAGAAGTGGTCACGTGGTCCTGGGTGCCCAAATCACCTGGTCACCACGCCAGCAGGTGACAACTTTCACACCAAGGTTCAACTCGAGTTCAACTCGAGTGACAGGACTGCACCCAAAAAGGGTCAAACAGGCTAGTAAGTTGTACCCTGCAGGCACGGTGACCAGGTGAATGGAGTACGCAGGAGCACGTGACCGCTTCTTCAACCATGTTCGATTGGGAATAAAGGAGGAACGCCGCATCGCAGCCTTTTCGGACCAAAACCAGTCGACTCAGCGTCCAAAAGATTACAACATATGGGCCAATCGCGGTCATCCGTGCTTTTATAAGAACGAAATGGCGCTTTTAGTGACATTTTGCATACAAATCCCCATCTAGTAGGGCGCAGTCACCCAGTTTCGGTGGAAGTGTGCGAGTTCGATTGGGATTCAAGTAGGAAGGGAGCGTCTCAGCTTTCTCGGACCACAACCATTCGACTCAGCACCCCGAAGACTACAACTGGTGAAATTTTAATTTTTGCCTTAACTTCCCCTTTAAGTTTGAGTTCAATGCCATGACTTTAGGTGAAAAAGTTTTTTTCGCAGGTTCAGTTACATGTATAGCATGCTTTGTCCTGTATTTTATTTCTGTAAGATATGTTTATACTTGACCCGACGCTAACCGAGCATCATCATCACCACCAACACCAACACAATCACCATCACCACCACCACCACCAACACCATCACCACCACCAGCACCAACACCAGCACCAAAACCAACACCAACACCAACACAATCACCAACACAATCACCAACACCACCACCATCATCAACACCATCACCTTCGCCATCACTACTGCCACAAGCATGGTTACAGGTTGTTAAGAGAGCATGTCTGAGAAAACCAGAAAAGCTGAGCTGGGCCATCTCTCCGACTTCGCTCAAATTTTCTACAACAACCATGGAAAAGGGCTCGTTGCATAACTTATGGACACCTTGGAACTGAGGACCACCTCGACATGGGCCCAAAATACGACTGAATTTTGTGTCCAAAAATGAGCATTGGTACAGCGTACACAATGGAGCTAGGAACAAACTACCAGCAGGCCAACTTTACCTCACCTGAATAGTCTTCACATCATCACCACATAGAGCCATGGCTACATCCAGGAAAGCAATGGCCATCATCTCAAAATATCACTAAATTGCATAGCTAAAATAGCCACATTTCAAGGGTCATGGGGGGAACCATTTACGGCATCTATTTTCCTGAACCATGCACTGCAGGGCAGTGGACTATCTCCACTACCACCCAGGACATGTCTCGTAAAAAGTGTTCCACGTTTTCTGGAAATAAACAAATCTGAATATTTTCACTTCACCACATTGCAACATTGCCAATTTCCTACCCGATGACGGAAAGCGCCACCTCAAGCTCCAACACCAGGCACCACCACTAGCAGCAAAGCTCTGCAAAAATATTGAACCAATCTTGATCAAATCCGTCGATCTGCAATGCCACGCGGTGGTCGGTGCACGGCCAGTTTCAGGACGCAAAAATATCGTGCTTCGATCGCACAAATCGAGATTTGTGCAATATTTTTGCACTTCTGCAGAGCTTTGCTGCTAATGCAATTCAAATCGTTCAGGGAAGGAAGTGCTTGTTGTTTGGTATGACAAGGGCTGTCAGTTCAAATTTCTTGTCAGACCCGGTAGAGGTGACTACGCTGCAGTGTTTGGCGTGCTGGTGTCTGGAGCGATGCCTGGTGTTGGAGCTCGAGGAGCTCTCCGTCGTCGGGTAGGAAATTGGCAATGTTGCAATGTGGTGAAGTGAAAATATTCAAATTTGTTTATTTCCAGAAAACGTGGAACACTTTTTACGAGACATGTACTGGGTGGTAGTGGAGATAGTCCACTGTCCTGCAGCTCATGGTTCAGGAAAATAGATGCCGTAAATGGATCCCGCTATGATCCTTTAAATGTGGCTATTTTAACGATCCCATTTAGTGATATTTGGAGGTGATGGTCATTGCTCTCCTGGATGTAGCCGTGGCTCTATGTGGTGGTGATGTGAAGACTACTCAGGTGAGGTAAAGTTGGCCTGGTGGTGGTTTGTTCTTAGCTCCATTGTGTACGCTGTACCAATGCTCATTTTTGGACCCAAAATTCAGTCGTATTTTGGGCCCATGTCGAGGTGGTCCCCAGTTCCAAGGTGTCCGGAAGTTATGCAACGAGCCCTTTCGCATGGCTATTGTAGACCCCAAAGGAATCCTACTTGCAAAATTTGAGCGAAATCGGAGCCCAGCTTTTCTGGTTTTCTCAGACCTGCTCTCTTAAACTGAGCAAGAAGTTGCAAAGTATTTTGTTGTGTGAGTCATATACTTCTAAGTATAATTTGAATGTTTTGTTCAATTTTTATACACCTTGTAGGAATGGAGCCCCTGTTGATTGTTCCAGAGCGTAAACTCAGCGTACCCATCATACGCATCATTCTGCTTGGCGAGACTGATGTTGGCAAGACATCGTTGGCACTCTCACTGTCCAAGAAGAAGATAGAAAGACGTGAGAACAACACCAGTACACTGGGGGTGGATATGAGCACGGTTGTCATCGGTGATGATAGTAACGACGTCCAAGAAGTGATAACCGGTACAGGCAGTGACGAAGCGCTAACTCGTCAGGTGGCAACCTTGATTCGTCAAGGTAGCAGACTGCAGCCAGAATCCTGTAGTTCACCAAACAGTTGCCCATCCACACTCTCACCCAGCACTGCCAGCAGCAGCAGCAGCAGCAGCAGCAGCAACAGCAGCAGCAGCTCAGTGCATGTACACGGAGACGTACTGGAAGCAATCACCTCTAGAGTAACATCAGAGCAATATGTACGTGATCTGAGTCGTCTCATTGCCAACAACTCTATGAAGGTGCTCAGAATCTGGGATACAGCCGGACAAGACTGCTTCCGTGTCCTGCATCACATGACGTTTGGTGCTGAACGTACCTCGTACGTTATTGTCTATAATGCCAAGTGCTCTATCAAAGAAGTAGCAGATGAGAGTAATGTAAGTTTGCCATGACTAAATGATTTTTTCATGAATTTAATGCTGGGGGGGGGGGGGGGGAGGGAAGGAAGTTTGTATTTCTATTTAATTGTGTCATTCTCCATGGACAGTATTTTTTAACGCTTGTCAGTTTGATGCTGAGCACCAGGAGTGCAGAAACTGCCGAGTATTCAACTTTGCAGATTGGTTCAATCACCTGGCACTGTCCACATTTACTTAGCCATGAACTGACTTATCAGCTGAGACATTGCATCATTATTGATCTGCCACGGTTCCCAGCTTCCCAATCCGATTTTCTCTTAGATTTCGGCTACAGTTTTAGGCGTGATGCTTCGCGCACAAGCATTGCTTTTGAACCTCCCATCGCACGCATGAAATCATTGCTCCTAAGCCGTAGGATATCTCCAATCCAGTCAGCTAGATTTTCATTTCACAGTGTAATGGAGTCAGCATACCATGAAGGGCAAACATAGCTTGGAGATCAGAGTTGCACACACTTGGGCTGACGTAGTCTTGGTTGCATTGATTCATTTTCCTCACATCGTGCACCGCTCATTGAAATACTGATCTATATGCCGTGTTTTCATGGAGCAGTATTGTTGATCAATTGCTTGGATTGGCAAGTGCAGATCTGCATCATCGCCTATTGACTTCTTCCTGGTGAACCATGGCCATTTTGTAGTTGTTGTATAAGCATTTCTTCAACCTATTCACGTTGTCATTTGGTTTTGTCGTTGCTGCGTGTGGTGTGTGTGTTTGTTCTTCATGCTGATTTCAGGTTCGTGTGCACGGTGAACACCGTCCATACGCTGGCGCTCTCCCTGGACAACCGAGCTTGGCATACGTGCATGATGCCCTTGAAACCATTCACAACAACTTGCAGGATGGATGCAGTTGTCGTGTATTTCTTGCCGGTTGTCACATTGATGAGCGCCAGACCCACTTTGCTGCTGCTGCTGCTGCTGATGTTACACGTTCAGCAACTTTCAATGCTGAGCTTGATAAGGAACGAGACGATATCATTCAGAGCATCGCCTGTCAACCATTCAAGCACCTGCTGAAAAAGGAAGACATCTTCTTCATTGACAACACCGTCTCAGGGCAAGAAGGCGTTGCAGAGGACAATCAGCTGATTGCTTTGCGCCAAGAACTCTGCATGCAGAGTCAGCAACAAGATTCCATTCCCATGTCTCGTCTCCTGGAAACGCTGTCAATCATGGAACTCTCTGTGCATCCGGATCTGCGTGCTCCGTGGATAACACGCCATGAAATGGAGGAAATGCTGCGTCGTGTGAACCCAAATCCAGCCGAATCCGTTGATGACATGCTGGCTTTTCAACATTCGTCTGGCACTGCCCTGTACTATCCAGACAGTGAACAACTGCGAGAGAACATTGTCATCAAAGTTACCGATGTCATGAAGCTTTCCGCCGCTCTCCTTCAGCCATGTGTCACCAGGAATGACCTCGGAGATGAACATGTATCGCTTGATGATATTCAGCGCTTGCACCGAGGTCTTCTGTCTGACAAAGTGGCGTTGTGTTTGTGGAAGAAGTTCTGTCCACACCTCCATCCGCTCATGCTGCACAGACAGAGTCGCAACTTCTATTTTCGTCTGATGGCTAGGTTGGACATTCTGTGCCAAGCTGGTAAGGTGCAGTCACATGAAGAAGATGGTGATGTTGGCGATGCCCTCTTTTTCATGCCAGCAGCTGCTGCAGCTGAGAAGCTTTCCAGCCCTCGTGGAGCGACTTCCGAAGAAATGATCCTTTCCTCGAAAGATGGATGCCACTTTCCTCATTCAACGTTCCTGAGGCTTGCAACATCTTGTCTCTCACATTACAATACCCACCATGGAACGCACAATGACGCATCGTGGGCCAACACCGCACTTTCTAAATGTGCAATGCGTCTGCCCTTGCCTGACAAGAAGTGGCTTGTACTCCGGTACATGAAGTGTGGTATCGGCCTGCGTGTGGAAGCGAATAGTCCGCGCTATGAGTTCCGTGAAGGCCATGGTGTCTCTGTTCTGGCCATGGTGCACAAGCAGTTAGAAAGCGTTCTCACACTGGCAAATAAACAGCTCAAGTTGAAGGTGAGACATGAGAACACGTTGATGTCTGTCTTCTATCCTGTTCACTTCTTTCTATTGCTTGCCGTCAGTCTTCATTTTTCTGTCACAATTCCCTCCTCTTCTCTCCTAACCTCTCATTTTTTACTCCTCTCTTCCCAACCCCTCATAGACACTTTCTCAGATTTTCCCCACTGTACTTGGTCTCTAACATGCATTCTTGAATTGTGTTTCATTCGCGTTATCGGCGGTCTCTAAGTTTCTTATTCTTAGTATTTATTATCGGGATTGCGGTGAGGCGAGGACTTGCCTTTCGATGAGTTCTGTTGAAACTGACTGATTGTCTGGTGTTGTGTTACTTGTGTGATCTGTTGATGTGTGGTGTTCAGGAGCTGGTGAAGTGTGGCTGTGGCACAATGAACCAACATGTACTATGTACCCTGCATGGTCGTGCTGAGTGCTGCAGGACAACGCCTGACACAGCCGCAGCAGCAGCAGCTCAGAGTAGAAGCAACGCCGCTGCCACTTGTTTCCACACGGTTGTTTCTGTGGAGCTTGGCAGTGTGCCCATGTGCCCAGCAGCTTACTACGAAGGTCACCATGCTGCCCAGAGCCTTCCTGAAGGTGCACTTCGATTTTGGAAGGCATGGAAGCAAGTAAGAGATGATGTTTTGCTGCCGCTGAAACTTCTTTGTTGCAAATCTGTATTGCTGTAAGTAAATGGAGGTTGTGTTTGGAGTGTCATATTGATAGCCTTTTCAATACGGAGTGTTTTATCTATGCTGAGGAGCAGTATGTGTGCTAGTGCCATGGTTATTTGGATGTCTGCGTGTGACTGACAAAGACTAGAGCTGAAAAAAGTCATCAGCCGACAGCAATGCTCTCCTTTGTCTGTGGTCATTCAAGTTCACAATTGATAAATTGGACCATTGAATCCAAGTTGAATTACTACTCTCTTTGTGTGTGTGTGTGTGTGTGTGTGTGTGTGTGTGTGTGTGTGTGTGTGTGTGTGTGTGTGTGTGTGTGTGTGTGTGTGTGTGCATTCACTTTGACAGGACGATGAATGCTTCATTGTTCGATCAGAAAATCCCTCTTCTGGCAATTCTCATTCGCCAGCATCAGAAGGAACACTCTGCCCAGTAGCATCACAGCCAGTAGCCACTTCAGCAGTGACAGCCTCAGTAACAGCATCACAGCCAGTAGCCACCTCAGCAACGACAGGCTCAGTAGCAACATCACAGCCAGTAGCCACCTCAGCAGCGGCAGACTCAGTAGCAGCATCACAGCCAGGAGCCACCTCAGCAGTGGCAGGCTCAGTAACAGCATCACAGCCAGTAGCCACCTCAGCAGTGGCAGGCTCAGTAGCAGCATCACAGCCAGTAGCCACCTCAGCAGTGGCAGGCTCAGTAGCAGCATCACAGCCAGTAGCCACCTCAGCAGCGGCAGGCTCAGTAGCAGCATCACAGCCAGAAGCCACCCCAGCAGTGACAGGCTCAGTAGCAGCATCACAGCCAGTAGCCACCTCAGCAGTGGCAGGCTCAGTAGCAGCATCACAGCCAGAAGCCACCTCAGCGGTGACAGGCTCAGTAGCAGCATCACAGCCAGTAGCCACCTCAGCAGTGACAGGCTCAGTAGCAGCATCACAGGCAGTAGCCACCTCAGCAGTGACAGGCTCAGTAGCAGCATCACAGCCAGTAGCCACCTCAGCAGTGGCAGGCTCAGTAGCAGCATCACAGCCAGAAGCCACCTCAGCAGTGACAGGCTCAGTAGCAGCATCACCGCCAGTAGCCACCTCAGCAGCTTCAGGCTCAGTAGCAGCATCACAGCCAGAAGCCACCTCAGCAGTGACAGGCTCAGTAGCAGCATCACAGCCAGAAGCCACCTCAGCAACTTCAGGCTCAATAGCAGCATCACAGCCAGTAGCCACCTCAGCAGTGACAGGCTCAGTGGTAGCGTCACTAATAGCATCACCGGCTGTGGCATTACTAGTAGCATCACTGTTAGCAGCAGCAGCAGCCTCAGTAGCATCAGTAGCATCTCCAATAGCAGCAGCACCGTTAGCAGCAGCAGCAGCAGTCCTTGCTGCAGTAGCACTTTCAGCAGCAGCATCACCAGTAGCACCTCCAGCAGCATCTGCAGCTGCAGCAGCAGCGACTACAGGTATGTACCTGACTGGGTGTTCATAGTGTATTTTAGATGCACATTTGACCAATTTAGCACAATAATTAATGACAGTCACTTTTCCAGCGCCACCACTTTGAATAGGACTAATGACTAGCTAGATCTTTGTCGGGAAAAGGTTTTTCTCATGAATGCCTCCAGGGCCTGATTCCTAGTGGAAATAGCTGTAAACACAATAGGGCTCTTCACATTCAACACCCAACAGGGGCTACGGGATTCTACGAGATTCTACGGAACTCTGTTCATCAGTACACCATGCATTATGCTTATACAGTATGTGTATGTGTATGCTGACGAGTCCCCAAAGGACGAAACAGTTCTGTCCGTAGATTGGGTATGTGTATGTTAAATACAGTGTGTGGTGTGTATAAAAGTATACATGGCATACTGAAATGGAGCCACATGCATGTAGCACAACAGTGATTTAGATGCCAAGAATCCTTGCCAGGTTACCCATTGCCATGGTATAAGCGTACTTAGATCAACCACTGATGATGTACAGGTCCGGACTAGAGTGATGCACATCGACACTCTAGAACGTGTACGGCAAGTCATAAATCCTTTTTCTCCGTTTGTGCATGCTTTTATCCTATGTATATCTTGCTTAGATGAGGACGAGGAGTCGTACGGCGACCCATTCAAACAAAGTGCCTTTATAACCGATATTTCTCCTTGGTTGGACAAATTACCAGCGGCAAAGTTTCGTGAATTGGCGCAAGTGGCTGGGTTCTTCTCCGATCTGCAGCAGATAGAAGACTTGAAGAGGATTGAGAGACAAGATGGAACACGCACTCACAACGAAAATTTGGTCAACATTGTAAGCAGCGAGGAACAGGCCGGCTACATCAAGCTTGTGAAGGTCATCAAATGCTGGGGTAAATATCCCGACAAGATCGACAAGATGAACCAGCTTCTGCCACGACGGGCTCGTGTGTAAACGGTAGGTTGCGTTGAGTTCTTGCACTACCTGAATTCTGAATAAGTCATTGAAACGCAGATCTCTCGTTTGGCTGTGGTGTGTGGATTTAGGTGTAGGTGTGTATGTGTAAGTGAGAATTAGTGTAAATTCAGGTGTTCTGTGTGTGTGTGTGTGTGTGTGTGTGTGTGTGTGTGTGTGTGTGTGTGTGTGTGTGTGTGTGTGTGTGTGTGTACATAATATGCATGCATCCAATCTATTTTGGCTCCGGTGTATACTATTATGTGACCGTCTTCGTGGCTGTGCGGTATTCTCTGTTTGCTCCATCACAGATTGAGGTGTCAAGCAATTCACGCAGCAAGTGCTGGTCCTGTTCTCTCTGTCTCTCTCTGTTTCTCTCTCTCTCTCTCTCTCTCTCTCTCTCTCTCTCTCTCTCTCTCTCTCTCTCTCTCTCTCTCTCTCTCTCTCTCTCTCTCTCTCTGTCTGTCTGTCTCTCTCTGTCTCTCTCTCTCTCTCTCTCTCTCTCTCTCTCTCTCTCTCTCTCTCTCTCTCTCTCTCTCTCTCTCTCTCTCTCTCTCTCTCTCTCTTTCTCTGTCTCTCTGTCTCTCTCTCTCTCTCTCTCTCTGTCTCTCTCTCTCTCTCTCTCTCTCTCTCTCTCTCTCTCTCTCTATCTCTCTCTCTCTCTCTCTCTCTCTCTCTCTCTCTCTCTCTCTCTCTCTCTCTCTCTCTCTCTCCGTGGTGTGTTCTCTATGTTACTGACTGGCTATGTTATCCATCAAATCCATTCCTCCATTCTTCCTTGGTCAAATTTGCCAATTTTTAGCAACATTATGTTATGCTTGATCACTACCCCACTAAATATACGTAAATTAAAATAGTCTAGTATGTTGGACAGTAGAGACAGCTAATTGTAGAGGACCACACCAGGTTACTATGCCCGTTGCAGAATTACTACTTATAGTCATGCAGATACATGAAACATTTCTTTAGAATTTTATGAATACATATAATGGAATATTATCATTCGGCCGGAGTCCTCAACCTCATTAGGCCGAGAATGTTTGAATATTTTAGAGATATATTTCAAGTTACTCTTTATTTCTACATTCCAGTCACTTATAGATATACAAACTCATTCCAGCAGCTGATGTAATACTCTAGGTTACTCTACCCTGTATGAGCCCATGATGAGAAGGGAACGAAAACGTTTGGTTCAGAAAATCTTCCATTTATTCTTCTAGACTGGTGTGGACAGCGCATAGATCATGCATAGTCGGATTCGGCCGCTGGTTCGTGTGTTTGTGTGTGCACGTGCACGCTTGCCTAGGAGACTGCATAGTCGGATTCGGCAGCTGGTTCGTGTGTTTGTGTGTGCATGTGCGCGCGTGCCTAGGAGACTGCATAGTCGGATTCGGCAGCTGGTTCGTGTGTTGGGGTGTGCACGTGCCCGCGGCCCTAGGAGACTGCATAGTCGGATTCGGCAGCTGGTTCGTGTGTTTGCGTGTGCACGTGCCCGCGTGCCTAGGAGACTGCATAGTCGGATTCGGCAACTGGTTTGTGTGTGCTCGTGCGGGCGTGCCTTGGAGACTGCATAGTCGGATTTGGCAGCTGGTTTGTGTGTTTGCGTGTGCGCGTGCACGCGTGCCTAGGAGACTGCATAGTCGGATTCGGCAGCTGGTTCGTGTGTTTGCGTGTGCACGTGCCCGCGTGCCTAGGAGACTGCATAGTCGGATTCGGCAACTGGTTTGTGTGTGCTCGTGCGGGCGTGCCTAGGAGACTGCATAGTCGGATTCGGCAGCTGGTTCGTGTGTTTGTATGTGCACGTGCACGCTTGCCTAGGAGACTGCGTAGTCGGATTCGGCAGCTGGTTCGTGTGTTTGTGTGTGCACGTTTGCGCGTGCCTAGGAGACTGCATAGTCGGATTAGGCAGCTGATTCGTGCGTTTGGGTGTGCAAGTGCGCGCGTGCCTAGGAGACTGCATAGTCGGATTCGGCAGCTGGTTCGTGTGTTTGGGTGTGCACGTGCCCGCGTCCCTAGGAGACTGCATAGTCGGATTCGGCAGCTGGTTCGTGTGTTTGGGTGTGCACGTGCGCGCGTGCCTAGGAGACTGCATAGTCGGATTCGGCAGCTGGTTTGTGTGTTTGCGTGTGCACGTGCCCGCGTGCCTAGGAGACTGCATAGTCGGATTCGGCAACTGGTTTGTGTGTGCACGTGCGCGCGTGCCTAGGAGACTGCATAGTCGGATTCGGCAGCTGGTTCGTGTGTTTGTATGTGCACGTGCACGCTTGCCTAGGAGACTGCGTAGTCGGATTCTGCAGCTGGTTCGTGTGTTTGTGTGTGCACGTTCGCGCATGCCTAGGAGACTGCATAGTCGGATTAGGCAGCTGATTCGTGCGTTTGGGTGTGCACGTGCGCGCATGCCTAGGAGACTGCATAGTCGGATTCGGCAGCTGGTTCGTGTGTTTGCGTGTGCACGTGCGCGCGTGCCTGCTGTAGGAGACTGCATAGTCGGATTCGGCAGCTGGTTCGTGTGTTTGGGTGTGCACGTGCGCGCGTGCCTAGGAGACTGCATAGTCGGATTCGGCAGCTGGTTCGTATGTTTGTGTGTGCACGTGCGCCCGTGCCTAGGAGACTGCATAGTCGGATTCGGCAGCTGGTTCGTGTGTTTGTGTGTGCACGTGCGCGCGTGCCTAGGAGACTGCATAGTCGGATTCGGCAGCTGGTTCGTGTGTTTTTGTGTGCACGTGCGCGCGTGCCTAGGAGACTGATACTAGTACTAGTCGGCAGCCGGTTTGTGTGTGCGTGTATGCATGCATGTGTGTGACATCATCTATATCGGTAGTTGTCTGTGGATTGCATGTCAGAGTTTCCGGTGAGATAGAACTATGTCTAGCCCTCGCGATTTACGCGATTTCATGCTCGAACACAGCATTTTTTTAGTTCAATATTCTAATGAAGCTGTACTTGATGCAGCTCATCCAAGGCCCTTCAGCAGTTCAGGCCCTTTTCATGCTCGAACAAGAAGTGCCTTGGATATTTTCCTCTCACCGTCTTAGACTCTCGGCGATGGAGAAGCTTTTAGAGTCTTTGCGTGACAATGATCAGGCGGCTCGCCGCCGTTTGCCCACGTGCCGGCCGATGCGGTCGAAACCCCCTGAGCCGTGGATATGGATGCGGGCGTGTGATGACACCCCAAGATGGGCCGGGTACTTTGAGTGTTTTGCGTCCACACGAGTCACGCCGTGACTTTGGGTCGTGTGATGTTTCTGGCGAAGCCAGGGCACGAGTGGCTGGTGGCTCCAGCCCGGCACCTTGTCGGCACCATAGTGCGTCCTTAAATGTGACGAGCACTAACGGCCTGAACGGTCTCACGACCTGCTTGGCTTAAGTGCCTACGGCTAGTCCAGCGGACACTGTTGCCAGTGCCTCCGAGTGTGAGTCGGACTGTTCTCAGTCAAAGGCATACTCCGACTCAGATGAGGGTGAGCACTACTCTACTCTCTAGACTTGTCTAGTTCTAGTCAGAGCTCAGATGCTAGTGCCGACTCGGAGTCCTCACATCAGGACAGTGTTACTTGCCACCACCTCGGGCGTAGCACGCGGGCCAAACGGTCCCAATCACATCCACCTCACATGTCTGCTGTATTGCTGCTACATATACATTGTTGCCGCAGCGGCATCTTGATGTGATGGTCTGATGTTGTAACAGTGTACCCACTTGCTAGGCCAGCTTGGTGCGTTCCCGTGGAGTTTGCCGGGGCACCATATTTGTAACGGCGATTCCGTTTGCTGTTGCCGTGGCCGTGTTTGTCACAGGATTGGCGCATTCCCGTTGAAGTTGCCCAGCCGGGCACCACATTTGTCAGTTGTGCATGTTTGAAGTTGCCAGGCCAGCTTGTATTGGTGCGTTCCCGTTGAGTTTGCCGGGGCACCATGTTTGAAACGGCGTTCCTGTCTGCTGTTGCCGGGGCCGTGTTTGTATTGGTGCATTCCCGTTGAAGTTGCCCAGCGGGGCACTACATTTGTCAGTTGTGCCGGTTTGCAGTTGCCAGGCCACCTTGCATTGGTGCGTTCCCGTTGAGTTTTCCGGGCACCATGTTTGTAACGGCTTTCCCGTTCGCTGTTGCCGGGGGCCGTGTGTGTATTGGTGCACTCACGCTGAAGTTGCCGAGCGGAGCACCACGTTTGTCAGTTGTGCCTGTTTGAAGCTACCAGGCCACCTTATATTAGTGCGCTCCCGTTGAGTTTACCGGGGCACCATATTTGTAACGGCGTTCCCGTTTGCTGATGCCGGGGCTGTGTTTGTATTGGTGCATTCCCGCTGACGTTGCCCAGCGGAGCACCATGTTTGTCAATTGCGCCTGTTTGAAGTTGCCAAGCCAATCATGTAATGCGCACCCGTTTGCTGTTGCCGGGTGACATGTTTGTCAATTGTGCTTGTGGCATACTGCCGTGATGTGCGATTAATAACAGGCCGCCGGAGCCGGTCAGGTTATTACCGGACCAACTTTTCAGCCACGAACACGTGTGTTCCTACTGTGGAGGGCAGGTGTACCCGTCATACCCTTCACAAAGTATAACGGCCATGATACTACCGGACCACTCAAACGCTGCATCCGGCGGTCCTGAATAAGGTGATAATAATTATTACGAGCAATGCATTGGGTTTTTTTGCCAATGGCTCTTTGTGGTACACGGCAATTTGCTATCATTCGTGACATTTCGCAGAGTGACGAATGTGAGAAGACAAAACAAAAACAAAAAGAAAAAATAATTTTAATAATGGCAACCCCCGGCCCCCACAATTATCAACCTCCGAGCGCTGAACAACTGTCTGTAGTATCACCGCTTCGCGATGGAGTCATTGAAGACAGTGCCGGATCACCTGCAGCTAGGGGATGTGATGATCGGGATAGACTTAAGAGATGCTTGATTCTCCAGTCCAGCGGCTCGATCGTCGGTTTCTCCAGTTTTCAGTGGTATCAACGGCTTGCCGTGTCTTGCCGTGTCTTGCCGTGTCTTGCCGTGTCTTGCCGTGTCTTGCCGTGTCTTGCCGTGTCTTGCCGTGGCTTGCCGTGTCTTGCCGTGTCTTGCCGTGTCTTGCCGTGGCTTGCCGTGTCTTGCCGTGTCTTGCCGTGTCTTGCCGTGTCTTGCCGTGTCTTGCCGTGTCTTGCCGTGTCTTGCCGTGGCTTGCCGTGGCTTGCCGTGGCTTGCCGTGTCTTGCCGTGTCTTGCCGTGTCTTGCCGTGGCTTGCCGTGGCTTGCCGTGTCTTGCCGTGTCTTGCCGTGTCTTGCCGTGTCTTGCCGTGGCTTGCCGTGTCTTGCCGTGTCTTGCCGTGTCTTGCCGTGGCTTGCCGTGTCTTGCCGTGTCCTGTCGTGTCTTGCCGTGTCTTGCCGTGTCTTGCCGTGTCTTGCCGTGTCTTGCCGTGGCTTGCCGTGTCTTGCCGTGGCTTGCCGTGTCTTGCCGTGTCTTGCCGTGTCTTGCCGTGTCTTGCCGTGTCTTGCCGTGTCTTGCCGTGGCTTGCCGTGTCTTGCCGTGGCTTGCCGTGTCTTGCCGTGTCTTGCCGTGTCTTGCCGTGTCTTGCCGTGTCTTGCTGTGTCTTGCCGTGTCTTGCCGTGTCTTGCCGTGGCTTGCCGTGTCTTGCCGTGTCTTGCCGTGGCTTGCCGTGTCTTGCCGTGTCTTGCCGTGTCTTGCCGTGTCTTGCCGTGTCTTGCCGTGGCTCCTGCATCACTTAAGTATCGTCGGTTTCTCCAGTTTTCAGTGGTATCAACGGCTTGCCGTGGCTCCTGCATCACTTAAGTATCGTCGGTTTCTCCAGTTTTCAGTGGTATCAACGGCTTGCCGTGTCTTGCCGTGTCTTGCCGTGTCTTGCCGTGTCTTGCCGTGTCTTGCCGTGTCTTGCCGTGTCTTGCCGTGTCTTGCCGTGTCTTGCCGTGGCTTGCCGTGTCTTGCCGTGTCTTGCCGTGTCCTGTCGTGTCTTGCCGTGTCTCGCCGTGTCTTGCCGTGGCTTGCCGTGTCTTGCCGTGGCTTGCCGTGTCTTGCCGTGTCTTGCCGTGTCTTGCCGTGTCTTGCCGTGTCTTGCCGTGTCTTGCCGTGTCTTGCCGTGTCTTGCCGTGTCTTGCCGTGTCTTGCCGTGGCTTGCCGTGTCTTGCCGTGTCTTGCCGTGTCTTGCCGTGGCTTGCCGTGTCTTGCCGTGTCTTGCCGTGTCTTGCCGTGGCTCCTGCATCACTTA